TCATTAACAGCATTAAGATGATTGCTTATGTCATATTAATTAAAATAATAAAAGTAAGAAAATATGCTCAATGCAGAGGTACTTTTATAAAACCAAAAAAAAATTGAAAACCTGAAAAACGAAAGTTAATAAAATATTTTATCTGCATCAAAATATTCTTTGGAAACCAAAAATAAAAATGTGTCATGAATGTTCTTTCCGGTTGATCTGTAAAAGTCAGAAAAATACATAGTCCATGTCATTTCACTTTCTGAAAATACAGAGTTCTAAACATCCCTCCGGCGTCAGCATAAAGCAAAAGGCTTTCTGTCTTCCCGAAGTGAAGCAGTCTGTTCCCTGTATGGATGCAAAGAATTCCAGTTCCGTTCCTATCAAAAAACATTTTTGTTTCAGCCAAACCGAAACAAATGACCTGACTTCGATACAGTGTTAGGATAGCTCCAAGCTGCGTCTGAAATTTTGTCTTCAGAACTGAAGACACACGGAAACTCCTGAGGGGAAAGAACTGTTTCTCGCAAGGCCGAGGCGAATACTATCCGAAGCGAAACTTGAGTCTGTATTTCACTGTGTTGGGGCTTTTCCGAGGTACAGAGAGGGGGACCTTTGGCTTGATGGGGTTAGGTGGCTTTTTCTTTTCAGGAACAGTTACGGTGAAAGACAGTTCCGGCTGCTCCGACTGCTTGAATCTGGGCAGGAAGTGGGTAGAGACGTGCTGGGGTTTCACCCGGGGGCTGCAGCCTCGCTTGGCTTTGCCTCTCTTGTTCAGGGCCACGTACCACTCCCGCCCTGTGTTCTCGGTCCTGTGTATCGCTGAGGCATAGGTGTTGTAGCTGTTTTCTTGAAACCGCTCCCTGAACTTGCAGTCATCCGTAAACTTGGCCTGCGTGGGGGGAAAAGAGAGAATTTAAATTGTGGTGATATTTTCAGCATCATAAAATAAAATGTGAGGTCTGATACCAAAAAGAAAAACCAAGAATTCTATTGATCACTGTCCCTATGACTTCATT